GGGAGGCTGGGGCGGGAGTTGGTTGGGGGTGGGGTGCTCCGGCCTGACCACCACCTTCACAGCTCCGGGTGGCCATTCTCCCAGAGGGGGAAACTAGTCCAGCATGCGAGGTCAGGACACGCCTTGGTGACTCGGGGGGAGGGGGGAGACATTGGGGTTCTAGATGGGGGCCAAGGAGCCCCCTGTTTTGCATATTTTAATCCACTCTATATTTGGAACGAGAAAAGGAACAAATATCTCTGTCCGTAATAGTTCCCGCCCCCTTTCCCCCTATCCCTCCCGCTGGTCCCACTGCAGCTGCCCAGTCTTCCATCTCCGGCCCCTCACTGCCACCCCATACGGGGCAGGGGACACTCCAGCTGGTCTGGGGTTGGCCAGGGTCCTGGCGGCCCACCCTGGGGCCCCAGCTCGGCTCCCTTCCCTTGCTGAGCTATAGTGTGCCCCACCCACCCTTCAGGTGCTGCTCGGGGGCGGGGGAGGGGGGCAGGGGCGGCAGGCATCAGGTCCTGCTGGACACCAGCAGGGCCCTGTGGCCTGGGAGACCATTGCCCTGGGGCTGGGGCTGGGCCCTAGCACTCCACCCCTAGCCATCTTCCTCACAGGGTCTCTCCCCAAGAAGGGGTCCAGCATCCTCTCCATGTTCTTGGGCAACTACAGCAGAGAAGCCTCCCTGCCTCGGACCCCAAAGTCTCCTGTTCTTACCCTGTGTGTGTGTGCACACCTGTGTGCGTGTGAAACCCGGGTGCAACTTAGCACGTGGGAGCCCTGTGTGTGCCTGTGGAGTGGCCCCCTGGGGCTGCTGTAGACTGGTGTGGGGGCTGTGGAAATGTGTGATGGGTGTGTGCATGGGTGTGTGCCTGTGAAAGCACCCCGTCTCCTCTTCCAAAGAAAGTCGGGCCAGCTTGCCGCTGGGCCCTGCTGTTTGCCCAGCCTGTCCTTCCAGAGCCTCCCCAAGCCTGAGCGGATTCTTTGCTGAATTCCTGCTGCTTGGGGGAGGCCCAAGGGCCCCCTGGAGGCAGTGCCCCTCTTTGGGCTTCTGAGGGGATCATGGGGTCCCCTAGAGTCATGCCACCACGGGCCCTGGGGAGAGTCAGAGACCCTTGAGGGTGCCCCAGCCCCCCTACTGTGACTCCTCACACTCAGCAATGGCCTGTGGGGTGGGGGGCCTGGGGCGTTTTTAAACCTAGGGTTTGGAGTCTGGACTAAGCTCCATCCACGTCACTCACAAGTTTCTGTTTATATTTCTAGCTTTTTTTAATAAAAAAAAAAAAAAAAAGAAAACAGAAGTTTTCACAGCCCAGGGGCCTGGCACGCCGGTCTGTGCCTGCCCCTCCCTGGCCCACCGGCCCCATTCCCTGGGCTCAGAGTCACACCCACTGACCCTCTCACCAACAGACCAGGTCACACACAGCAGCGGTCACTGTAACAGACTGCCACATACACACTCAGTCTCACACTCACCTGTGGGTTTTCTGTTCCGTTCAATTTGGGTTTTTAACTTTACAGGGTCAGTTCTGCTTCACCCCTCCTTTTGTATGGAGTTCCATCCAGGGGCTTTCACCCCCTGCTCCAGTCCTGAGGCCTCCTGACCCTGACGTTGTGATACACCCCACAGAGATCTATGTTTCTTATATTATTATTATTGATAATAATTATTATAATATTATTATGTAATAAATTTATAAGAAATGAAGCCATGTTCCACTTGCCTGTTTGAAGGGATGTTGGGAAGCAGAGTCTGGCTCTGACTCTGAGACTGGTCACCCAGTCCCATAGCCCTGACCAATGTGTTGGTGACTCAGAGATGTGTCTCTGACCCAGGCCTCTGCCGGCCTTCCTGCTCAGTTCCTGGCTTCTCCCTGGACTGCTGGCCTCCAGGCTGCCCACACTGGTCCTTCTCTCTGCTCAGCAGCTCACTGAGTGGAGGCTCCTGAGCTCCAGGCTGGTGGTCCTCCATGGTCTCTGCCACTTTTTCATTTTGGGGTTCTGTGGCTCAAACCCAGGCTCTTAACCTCCTGCTCTGCCACCGAGCTACACCCCAGTCCCTCTGTCATGATCTGAAATCTAGGGCTTAAAACCTCTCTCCAGTGCCCAGTTGTTCTTAAAATCCACAGTCCTTCATTCTGAGTCCTCTCGTGCTCCCCCCTGTCCTGCCCATGCCTGCTGCGCACAGTAGGGCCCACTTCTTTCCCTGGGCTCAGGCGCTAGTCTTGGGCTCCATTCCTGCCCTCTGCTCACGAACACCCGACTGTCTTTGTGAAGGAAGGCGTCTCTCCGCACACCCTCTGGCCTCCAAGGTGGCCTGCTCCTCCCTTCCCTGGCCTCACTCCACTCCTGAAGTCTTGGAGCCCGTCTGGTGGCTCAGGGGCGCATCGTTGCCCTTTCCCCCTCTGCTTGGATCGCCCACCGCGCCACCTTTGTAGGTTGAACTCCAGGTCCCTTTTTCCAGGAAGCCTTCCTTCCCTGACCCTCACTCTGCCTCCCCACAGCCCTCTAATCTCCAGCTTCCCACCTGGGACCATCCCTCTGGGGACCAGCACCTCAGGAAGGTGAGGTTTCTCTCTTCAGGCTATTTGACCCAGACATGACCTTCAAGGGCACAGGCCTCCTGTGCACAGCCAGCTGGCACTGGCCAATAATGTGTCATGGGAGACAGCCTGTGTGGCATCTTGGGGGGGGGGGAGGTCACAGTGTGGGGGAGGGGCACCTGGATGAGAGAGAACAGGAACAGAGAGTTGAGTGGGTTGACAGTCCTGCTGAGCGGGAGGGTAGAGACCTCAGGAGCCGGGGCTCAGAGCTGGGCCATGCCTGAGGGCAGGGGTTTCTGGGGTCTGTGGATTCTGCCCCTCTGCTGGCATGAACATAACAGACTTACTCCTGACTCATGTTAGGGGTTGGTGGTAAGGCTGGGGGAGGAGCCAGCTGGCCAGCCAAGCAGAAAGAGCCTGGGAAGAGGATCAAAGCTGAGGGCAGAGGGAGCCTTCAGTGTGCTCTCCAGGGGAAGCAGATGCCCTGCAGGCTGCTTGGGGGCAGGTGAAGTTCTGGTGGCTCTGAAGTGATGGCAAAGTCCCTCTTCAGGCTGGGATTGGTGACTTGCAGTTTGTTTACAAAGCCCCACAATTACAGATGTTCAACATTTTCAATTTTTTTTGTCTCATTTTTAGGCTAGAAACTCTGGTCATCATACAGAAGGGAAGACCCAGGAAGTCCAGGAGAGAGGCCCTGGGAAGGCCTGCTGCAGCAGAGAGAGAGAAGGGACCAGAGAGACTGGTTTCCTTCTGAGCAAGGGTAGGGGGGCTTGTCTTTCATAGAAACAACTTTGCCCCCTCTGGTTCCCCAAGGGTTTGGAGAAGATGAATATTCCCCCAGGTCAAAAGCCTCAGAAGACAGGTCAGGGTCCTCAAGGACTAGAGCAGAGAAACCTGCTAGAGGTAGTATGGAAGTGGGGCTTCACCCCAAAGCTCCAAACACCTGAGGGAAGATACTTTCTCCTTCAGGGCCAGGGAGTCCTCAGGAACTCAGAATCCTCCCTGCTTTGCCCTGGGGGCACTCAGACACCCTGGATGAATCTCCTCAAATAGGAGATAGAGGATTTCATCACTGTCAAGTAGAGGAGGTGAGACCTTTAGACAGACAGACCAGAGCTGATATGAGAAATTTGGAAAGGAGAACTTGAGATGCTCTGGTAAAGGAGGTAAAAGCTGTGACATTCAGGTGGGAAGATGAGACTATTCTCAAGTAGAGGATAGGAAACTTTGTGGAAGTTGGGTCATGGAATGAGAGCTCCTGACACTTCATTATGACACTTGAGACTTCAGGACACTCACCCAGTGAAGTGCCACCTTTAGACATTTGGGCAGAGGATATAAGACCTCTTGACTCTCAGGTAGAGAAGATGCAACAAGATGAAACTAGGTGGTGGAGATGAGACTTACTTCTTGGTGGAGGAGATTTAAGACTCTGGACCTGAAGTGGAGGAAAGAGATGTTCTCACATATGGGGAGAGGTGAGAACTCCTTGATATTTGAGATCCGCTGGACATTCAGTTGAGGGGCATGTGACCTCCTGCACGGTTTAGAAATGAGAAACTATGTCCTTTGGGTAGAGAAAATAGGGAGAGAAATCAAGATCATCCATAATCCCCAAACTCAACACTCAGGAAGAGAAAAGGAGATGTCCCAATAGGTGGACAAGAGGAGCTCTCGTCACACTCCTAGTAGAGGAACAATCTCTTTGCCCTCTGATAAGCTGGCAAGACTTCCACTGAGGTGGAGGAGGTAGGTGTGCTCTACATGCAGGTACAGCAGATCAGAGCTCCGGACACTCTTTCAGGGGCGGGGAAACATTTGAACATCCAGGAATATGTAATAAACATTTGTCACTTCCTGATAGTCAAGATGCCGTCTCCTGACAATCAGAAAAGGTGAGGCTTTGATCCACTTGTTGCACTTAGTTCCCAGAGAGGAGGTCTCCATGTCCAGGGAGGGGACCTTGTGATACTTGGCAGTGAACAGGAAAGTAGACTTGGTAGTCATAAACTTGGGAAATTCAAAATGGCTCTTTGAAAAGTATACTGATGGCATGTACTTGGAGAAGGAAAAGGCAGTTTTCCCTACCAGGTAATAAGGATCCACAGATCTTCTGAACCTGACTCTTTTTAACCACGGACATCTTGCACCATCTTGTTGCAGCAGGGCCAATCTGCTCCTCAGTGCTTGAGTCTGCACTGGTTACAGCTGGAAAAGAGACACACCCTTAACTCACACAGTGGGACCTTGGAAGAGTAATTGGCAGTGAAGATCTTGGCCTTGGGGGTGGAGGGAGCCAGGTGGTGGAGTGGTAACCTGTCAGGAAGTTGGGGCGTCACTTCAGCATGGATCAGTTAAGCTGAGAGGCCTGCCTGGCTTACTGCTGGGGTGGGGGGAGACTACCCTGCTGATTGGCCAGGAGGCCACGGAGCTTTGTGAGGTCATGGCCTGCAGCCAGGCGGGGGCAGGAGTATGGTGGAGATGCTGCCAACTGCCATTCTGCTGGTCTTGGCAGTGTCTGTGGTCGCCAAAGATAACTCCACGTGTGAGTAAGTGTCAGGGGCTCCTGGGTCAGGGAAGCTCAACAGGTCCTGCTCAGACTCCCTCTGTCCAGGGATAGGGAGGGGGCCAAACTGGGGCCTTAGCAGTGCCTGGGCCTCACATACCCAGCTCAGACCCTCCTTGCTCCCAGAACCATCGTTCCAGAGACCCTGGGTCCGGAGTTGTCTCTAGTTTCCCCTAAGAAAGAGCTCTCAGCTCCTAAATCCCTGCTCCCAATTCCCCTGGTGATTGACCCCACTGCCACTCAGACATCAAGTCCTGACTTTCAGGATGCCCTGTCCTCCATGAACAACTGAGATGTCCCCCATGAGCCTGACTCCATGTGCCTCTAGCACTTCCATCTACCTGCAGACTCTCACCCCTAAAGTGCCCCACAATGCCAACAACTCCCAAACTACTACTGGCTTCCCACCTGTGACAGTTCCCAGAACTTCCATTTCTGGGTCTCACTGCTCGTAGTGCGCCTCCCCCTAGGCCTGTTGGTCACTGTATCTGCTGGCAGGGATTCTCCTCCTGCTGCTATCTAACCCTGCCACTACAGCCGCAAGATTCTCTAAATCACCTGATCTCCTACCTGAGATTGTCTCTAAAGACCCCAGTCCATTATACTCTTCTACCTCCAGACCCCTCATTCCACCTCTAGCCTCCTACTCTGCCCAGGGATCTCCCATACTTCTATGGCCTACACAGCCCTACCTATGGCCCCTCTTTCCTTATTTTGTGATAACTTAAGACCCCAAAATAACCCCAAACCACTTCCTGGAGCTGATGGCTTCTTGCGTGCCCCAGGTTTCCCTTTTCTTGGAAGCCCACAGCTCTTTCCCACCTTTCCCAGCCCCATATCCCTGCCTCTCCCCAGGACTGGCTGTGCCAATTGATTTGAATCGTGTCTCGGTCTCTCTTCAGTGGCCCCTGTGGGTTGCGGTTCAGGCAGAACCCTCAAGGGAGCTCCAGAGTGATCGGAGGGCATGTTGTGCAGAATGGGGCCTGGCCCTGGATGGTCAGCCTTCAGGTCTACCAGCCCCACAACAACCGCAGGTACCACTCGTGTGGAGGATGCCTGCTGAATTCCCACTGGGTGCTGACAGCTGCTCACTGCTTTGACAACAAGAAGTACGTGCGGGAACACCCAGAGGGAGGTCTCCAGAATGCTCTTTTTGGAAAGGGAACTTCCCCAGGGGCTCTGTGCGGGGTCTCCCTGGGGTCCCCGGCAAAGTGGCAACTGGACTCTGGTTGGGGGAAGGCTCTAAGGGTTACTCCCCAGGGGATTCTGTCAACCCATCTGTGAGAACGATTGTTTTACCTTTGTACCCACAGAAGAGTCTATGACTGGAGACTGATTTTTGGAGCACAGGAAATTGAATATGGGACAAACATGCCAGTGAATGATCCTCTGCAGGAGAGATATGTGGAGAGAATCATCATCCACGAAAAATACAACATTGTGACCGAGGGGAACGACATTGCTCTCTTGAAGGTCACCCCTCCTGTTCCATGTGGGCCTTTCATTGGGGTAGGCTGCCTGCCCAATTTTAAGGCAGGCCCTCCCAAAGTTCCCCAGACCTGCTATGTGGCTGGCTGGGGATACATAAAGGAGAAGGGTGAGTGTGGGAAGGGCTCTGAGGAGGGCATGCTGGTCTTTCTGTTGGTGGGCTTGGAGAGGCAGGGATCATACACTGATGCCCAGTTGAGCAACTTTCCGTTCCCATCGTGGTACCATGGGCAGCGGCTGTCACAGTGCCCTTTACAGCTGAAGAAGCTGGGGTCTGAGGGAAACTGAGCCCCTGTCCAAGGTCACAGGACTGGCTGCCTAGCGGAAGGCCGAATGGCATGCACAAGTAGAACCCTGGCCTTTGTTCCTGTCTCTGCCTGGCACCTGGAGCCCCACCTGCTAGATTCTGGAAATGAGGAATGTACACTGAAACAGCATTTAGAGAAGAATTCTAGATGTGCTTTTGTGGCCATGGGCTAGTTTTGCTTCTGTGTAGTGATGGCCTCCAAGCAGAACAACTCCAACCTCTGCTATGACAGGGTCACTCTTATCCACCAGCAGCAGCAGGCTCCTGGCTCTGTCCTTGGATAGTCCTGGCACAAACTTCCACCCTTTTCATTTGATCTGCTTGACATTGTCTCTGTCACCTTAGAGGCAGGCAGGCAGTGGGTGGGCTTTCTGCAGGTCATGGGTATTCCGGCATTTGGGGCACCTTGGAGCCATCCACCGGGTCCCTTGCTGTTCATGATGATGGTAGCTGCCTCTCTAGACTTCTCTGCCTTGGCAAGCTATCAGCCTCTTCTCTGGCCCAAATGTCTCACCTGCCCAACACTGCCCGACCCACCTGGCACCAGTTGAGTGGTGAGTGAGTACAGGAATCTTTTTTTCCACTGCAGATGGGCTCGCAGAGGGTCCAGGGAGGAATCTAAAGCAACTGCCATTGCTGACTCCATGGTTATGCGGAGCCCAACATCTCCCCGTGTACTTGAAGCCTAGGGGTACTCTTTGTCCCAGGGGTAATTGTAGACAGCAAGATTCTGACAGAGGACAACCAAGTGGAACTTGACCTCTGTGCATGACCCACACTCCAGTTTTCCATAAGCAGCCACGTAGAATTTCATCCACTGACATTAGGGTGGTGACACAGAAACCTTGCTCTCAGTCTCTTCTTTGATAATAGAAAATTTATGCTTCTTAATTCAAGCAATTCAGCCACTTGGGGCTTAAAACTTGTTTGAGATTCTTTCTTTTACTCTTATTCCCTTGTTCCAGCGGGTGATCTAGTTCCTGATGGGTTTGTTACCAGTCCTATCCCTCTGATCTCATTTTCACTGGCCGTTGCTGACATGAGACCATCACTTTCTGACCTAGTGTGCCTACCCCTGTCTCTGCTGCTGATGCTAACGGTTTTGCCATGGTGTCCAGAGTGAGGACATGCATTATTCTAGATCACACTCCTTTCTACCCTTTGGCCTGTCCATGGCTTGAAGGGTTTTCTAGACCCTGGAAGGCTGCTCTTGGGGTCCTCACTCCAACCCCACATCTGCGATCCAATTGTAGGCTCCCAGACACACCTTGGAGGTCAAAGCAAGGCCTTTTTGTCCTGGAATCCCCCAGAAATTAATGGGGCACTCTTGTTCCTTTGTTTTTTTTTTTTTCAAACATCCCCTAAATTTAAGTCTTAAAGAAACACTCAGGCTCCAATCTCCTGTGACTCACCGGAATCTTCCTTGTTCTGGCTAATCCTTGAACTCTTTGGGGCTGAAAGAGTACCCCAGAGTGTTGCTTCTTTCCCTTGAATTTTGAGTTCCTGTGGGCTTCTGGCCTTTGTTACTTAAGCCAAGGGGCTGGGATTGAGGAAACTTTCTTCTGTTTTGGACACTGGGCATTTCCCAATGATTATGACTTTCAGGACTATGGTTCTGCATAGATCTAAAAAGTCATCTTGACTGCTAACAACCTGCCATCTCAGTGTCGCCACCACTCCAAGGGCAGGGCACATATTAATCCCTTGCTGCTGCTTGAATAGGAGGAATGGTGGTAGCTGAAGGGATTGAAGAACAAAATCCCACCTGGCAAACACACATTAGCAGTCATCTAGAAATGCTGGCTGAGTGTGCATCCCTGTGTACATGCCTCCAGCATCTCCTCCCTTACCCTCTGGGCCTGCATGGTTGTGTTCCCTAGGCTGCTCCCTGCCTGGGCGGCGAAACTTCTGGATCTGCCCACAAGGCTGTGGTGCTGCCATGGAAGGGGTCTTGCTGTGTGCACTGGATGGGGGCACGGAGGCACTGGTGGTGGGGCTACGTCTGACCCCATGCTTGCTGCTTGCGTGAGCTTGCACAGACAGGCCTTTCCTAACCCCCAGGTCATGACAGGGTCGGAGCTGTGAAGGAGACCCAGATTCCTACAGTCTCCTCAAAACAGATCTGAGGCATGTGGGGAGGGACTGATTAGCCCAGCTCCACTGCTGGAAAGAGAAGTCCTGATGAGGAATAAGAAGCAGGAAGGCTGATTCCTAGCCAGACGGTGTGTTCTAGACTTGGGTCTGGAGAAGAGTGATCCTGGGCAGATTACAGCTACCACTTCCCACCGTAGGCAGGTGGCACTCTAGCCCCAGGGAATAACAGGATCAATAATGGGAACAACAGGATGTGACTCGTGAGTGCTGGGCAGATTCCAGTTGTTTTGTTAATGCTACAACTAACCTCCTTAACCCTCATCTACTATTAATATACACTCCCATCCACCCTTCCTTCCTTTCCCTCTTCATCCAGGTGACAGTGCCCCACTCCCGTCCCTGGCTGCTCTTTCACTGTGTATTTCCTCAGGAGTGTATGAGGAAAGGTGGGGCATTGGCTGGTGGATCTAGGTTTAACTAGAGCATTACAAAGGATGGGGGCTCCGTGGAGGAGGAGACAGGGCTTCCCTCCATGTCTGCCTTGATCACTGACCACTGCACGGCCTGGCTGCAGCCCCCAGGCCATCGCCTGTACTGATGGAGGCTCGTGTGGACCTCATTGACGTCGACCTGTGTAACTCGACCCAGTGGTACAGTGGGCGTGTCATGTCAAGCAACGTGTGCGCAGGGTATCCCGAAGGCAAGATCGACACCTGCCAGGTAACCCTCTTCCTGGTGCCAGACTCCTGGGTCCCTCCAGGGCTCCTCAGGACTGAGGACACCTCTTTTTGGGTCCCTGAGCTCCACTGCCTCTACTCCCTGCCTAGTGCCCTTCCCTAGTGAATCTTTCCCTGGTCCCTCTCCCAGCACTGACAGTCACAATGAAGATGAGAGGTGACACCCACCAGCTACTCCTACAGAGAACTCATCACCCCATTCAGTACTTGATCCCAACCTCAGCCATCAGAACATATCACCCAAACCTAGTGCCTGAAGACAATGCTCCCCTCTTTCCCAGAACTCAAAGCATTCAAACCCACAAGTGCTGGTGTATGCAGGCAGATCTACCTGCGTGCACACACCTCACTCATCTCACTGCGGGAAACCCATTTCCGTCCATGCTGTTCTCAATCCTAGCTGAGGCTGTGGCACCGTCTCCAATTTCAGCACAGCCATCTATGTTTCTGGCAGCAGGAAACCATGTGGCTGCAGAAACTGCCCTCCCAGAATCCCACGACCCCTCTGGGCAAGGAGAGTGGCTCAGGCTGAGAGTGACCTCTGTGTCCTTTGGGCAGGGGGACAGCGGCGGGCCTCTCATGTGCAGAGACAACGACCAAAGCCCCTTTGTTATCGTGGGGATCACGAGCTGGGGGGTAGGCTGTGCCCGCGCTAAGCGCCCTGGAATCTACACGGCCACCTGGGACTATCTGGACTGGATTGCTTCCAAGATCGGTCCGAACGCCTTGCACATGATTCAGCCGGCCACCCCACCTCCTCCTACTCGACCCCGGCCCCCACCCCGACCCAGCTCCCGGCCGCCCTCGGCTCACCGTCCTTGGTACTTCCACCAGCCTCGCCCACCCCGGCCCGTTCCCCTGCTTCCACTCCATACTCCAGCCTCGTCTCCGTCCCGGATCCCGGCCCCCCCCCCCCCCCCCGCCCCCCCCCCCCCCCCGCCCCCACCGCCACCGCCACCGCCACCGCCACCGCCACCGCCACCGCCACCTCCTCCAAGGCCTTCCACCAAACTTCCCCAAACACTTTCTTTTGCCGAGCGACTTCAGCGTCTCATAGAGACCCTGAAGCGGAAGGATTATTCCAGCTCCCAGACCTCTTATGACACCGAGACCATCGAGCTTCCAGGATCCATATCCTGATCCCACCCTGTTTTCAGCAGACCCGGTGAACTCTTCACTCCTGAGGGGGAAAAAAAAAAGATGAAATAAACATATATTTATTTATTTATAAAAATATATATATATACATGAAGAGATGCTTTCTGGACTTCTGTCTGTCTGTCCATCCAGTCCGACCCAGACCTCCATCAGATCCCTCCCTCCTTTCACTCTCCAACAAGGTGGAACTTCTCATGCATTCCTGTGAATTGTGTGTCTTGAATCTTAAACGCTAGTGCTGGATTAAGGTGATTGGGTCCACAGGCCAGGTTTAGTTTTTATCTCACCCTTTAGTGAAACTGGCTAGAAGGGGTCGTCTCTGCATATGCAATTCAGCTGGGGTCGTGCCCTGAAAATGCCTGAGCTGAGCTGACTGGGAAGAAAGAGGCGAAATTCAAAGTCTTCCACAAGGAGGCCAAGTTCTCCTGGTGCTATCAGGAGACAGCCAGAGAGGCTTGTGCAGGTGGAGAGAGCTCTCAGAACATGGGACAACACAACTGTGCAGCCATAACAGCAAATGTCCAGTACAGCACACAGATTGGCTTCTGTTGACTGGCTGGCTGAACATTGCTTGTGCAAGTTCCTGATTGGCGAAATGAATTTGTTCCTGGATTCAGGCAAACTAGAAAATTATTTGCTATAGTTTTCCAGGAATAGCAATGGAATAGAGGTATACTTTTTGGTGGATGCACCTGAGTGGATTTTGAATGGCTTTCTTTCCATTCAGGGGTATTTAAGATCTTCCATTGCACAGAACAGAAAGTCATTTAAATGATAAGGATGCAAAGACATCACAAAGAACCAACAGTAAATGTCAGAAACAGATAGGAGCCATGGTATGGCTAGAGTCTGAAATTTTCTCAGAGTGGCTACAAATGCTCAACTTGAGTGGCAGAACTACCTGCACTGTCCCCAGGCTGGGGTCAGCCCTCAGAACTGCTCATATTTGTTGGCAAAGTCCTGGGAAAGAAATCCTGATGGACTCAGGTCAACTACCCTCTTTGGTCAAAGGAGTAAATAAAATGTGACTGCTATATTACCACTTGTGTTATCAAAGATGGAAGATCCCAGTGAAAGAAGACCCTGGCTTCTGGCATTCACTTGCATGTCCATTCATCAAATTGCTTGTGTGCATGTCAATTGCAAGATGTCTAATGCCCTGGCTGTAAAGACAGATGGCAGAGGGAAGGTGTTGCAGCAGGTGGGGGCACCCTCTGTGAGAAAGCCTGTGGGACAGACATGGATAGGGATATCTCAGGCTGCTTTGGAATTCCTTTCTCTGCTTGGCGAAGTCCTGCTCAACCCCTCTCTGCCTCTGGGGAGATGCACCTGAGGGTGTGTGACTGTGGGATAAAGATGGGGTGAAGCATGGGATCAGGGCTTGACACTGAATGCTCATGGATGTGGGCTGTCACGTGGAGCCACCTGGTGATGAGCTTCTCATCTGTATTTTCAGGGAGCACTGTGGGGTCACCATTTTCCTGAAATTCTTTAGCTGCATAGGAGGGCTTGCATATTGGTCTGAACGACCCATAGCTCTGTAGCACTGCAACGTTTGAATTAAGTTTCAAAAGCCAAATTCTTTCTGGTTAAGAGCTGGCATTGCTAAGACTGGAGTTGGCAAATTTTTTTTTTTTTCCTTCCTCGTCCCTCTCTTTGCAGTGCTGGAGCTTGAACCCAGGGTCTCATGCATGCTAGCCAGGTACTGTGTCACCAGACTCTATCCTGAACCTTCTAAATCAGATTCTATTTTTTTTTTAGGGATTAAACCCAGGGTGCTTTGCCATTGAGCTTCATCCCCCGCCTTTTAAATCTGTGTATTTTGAGACATGCTCGTGCTAAGTTCCTGAGGCTGGACTTGAACTTGCAAGCCTCCTGCCTCAGCCTCCTGTAGTTGCTGGGATTACAGGTGGGTGCCACCATGCCTGACTCAAGCCAGATATTGTCTTTATACCTGGTACCAGACACTAGCCATCTTCTGAATACTGAACAAACAAAAGGCAAAGGCCCAGTTAACAGAGCAAGACAGTCCACGCCACAGGACACATGATCCAAAGAGCAGCAGCTCAGGACTCCCCTCGTCCACGATGGCGCAATCCTGTACCTGAGCCAGGTGCAGCACCAGGTGGGTTCACAGGTGGAGCAGGGGGCAAGGTGTGCTCAGACGCATGGAGGGATTCTGAACAAGTTGGGGAGGGACTGCAGTAGCAACAGTACTGTAATCCAGAGGTCTTTTTTTTTTATTGTGGTATTGAAGATTGAACCATGTACCCAGGCCTTTTGATTTTATTTTGAGATGGGTCTCACTAAGTTGCCCAAACTGTCCTTGAACTCATGATTCTCCCACCTCAGACTCCAGAGCAACTGGGATCACAGGTGTGCAACACTGCTCCTGACTCATCTCTTCTTTAGGAGACTTCTTGGGCCAAGAAGAGTTTTCCTGGTGCTCTTTCTCCTAATTCACTTCTCCTCCCTCAGTGAAGTGGAAAGTCTTGCGCTGGCCTGTCATCCCTAGCTAGCGCCCGATCTCCTTCCTGGACAGAGGGCCTACTCTCAGGACACAGACACGTGCGCACAGGCTGGGTGGAGCATGCGGAGTCCTTGTTCACATCTGGAGCATCCCATCCACATGAAGGGGTGGATGCATGCTGCGATCCCCTATCTAGTTTCCACTTCATGGTACTCTATGACTTCCTTTTCTATCCAGCAAATAGTTGTTTCCACGTGAGCTTGTGCAGGCCCATCTCAGTTCTATAGATGGGTCTCATGCACCATACTTCTTCCTGGCAGAAGCATGTAGCCTTCCATGCCTGAGAATGCTCATTTCCCCATATCTTAGCCAACATTGCTAAGATGCTAAGATTCACTCCTAATCTTTAAAATTAAAACATCTATTGCATTGGCAAAATGTCACCTCGCCCAACTCAAGCAAGTACTTTTTATTATTTTTTTTAAATATACCTTCTTTCACTCACCATTCATTTTGACATTTGTTCATGTGGTAGTATGCAGTAACTTATTCCTTTTTATTGTTAAGCGTTTCATTGTATGAGTATACCACAATTTGTTTTTCTATTATATTGGGTTGTTTCCAGTTTTGGCTATGACAATAAAGCAGTGATGAACATTCATATTCATGTATAAGTCTTTTGCATTTTATTTGGACTTCTATATATATATTTTTTCATTCTGTTGGTTAAGTGCCTACATGAAGAATGGCAGATCATATAGTAGGTGTGTGTTAAACCTTTTTTCAAAAACTGCCAAAATATTTTTTCAAAGTTTCTTCAACATTTTGTATCCCACTAAAACTGTAGAGTTATAGTTCCAGGCCCTCTACAGCCTCAGCAACACTTGGTATGGTCCTTCTTTTCATTCTAGTCCTTCTGATGGGTATATAGTAATAGTTATTGTGTTTTTAATTTGCATTTACTTAATGATTGGCAATGTTAAGCATCTTCTCACGTGGTTATTTCCATCCAAGTATCTTCTTTGATAAAGTTTCCGGTCAAATCTTTTGCCTATTTAAAAATATTTATGACCATTTTATAGAGTTTTGTGGGGCTTTTTTTTTTGAGTCTTGAGTTTTTCTGTGTGCTGAATATGACATTAATACTTCGTATGCTTTTAAAATCTCTCTCCCTGTCAAGGGGAGAATTCTCTAAACAGTCTTTAAATTCTCTAAACAAGGTCCTTTGAAGAACAGAAATTTTAAATGTTGATGGAGTACCGTTAATCAAATTGTTCTTTTATGGATCATGTTTTTGATATCAAATTGAAGAAAGTTTTGCTTAACCCAAGCCTGCAAAAATTTTCTTCTATATGGTCTTCCAGAAATTTAATTTTAGGTTTCACATTGAGGTCTATGATCCATTTTGAGTTAATTTTCGTGTTGGTGTGAACTGTGGGTTGAAGCCCCCCTTTCTGCATGTGGCCATCCAGTGGTTTCAGCACTACAGTTTGAAAAGATTCTCCTTTTCCCATTGAATTGCTTTGCACCTCTGAACAAAATTAGTTGTTCATATACGTATGGTTCTATTTTTGGACTTTCTATTTTGTTTCTCTGATCTATTTGTCTTGATACCAGTACCACTCTGCCTTATCTTATATAGTATATAGTTTACAGTAAGTCTTGAAACCAGTTAATGTCTGTCTTACAATTTTGTTCTTTTTCACGACTGTCTGGCTAGTCTAGGTCCTTTGCACTCCATTTAAGTATTAGAATCAGCTTATTGATTTCTACATTAAAAAATCCTGTTAAAATGGTACAATCCAGTCACTTGGAAAATATTTAAGGGATGTGAAATCAGTGTGTCAGATGGATATCTGTTCTCCCATGCTCACTGCAGCACTGTTCAGTAACCAGGAGATGGAATCAACCTAACCATCAATGGATGAGTGGATAAAGAAAATGTGATACACATACACAGCATGCGCGCACGCGCACACACAGAGGAATACCATGTGGCCATGAAAAAGAAGGGAGTCTTATCATCTGTGACTGCATGGATGAACCTGGAGAATATTGTGCTAAGTGAAAGACAAATACCATATAATTTTACTTATATGAAAAATGTAAGACAAACACAGAGAGACAATTATGCACAGAAACACAAACACCATATAATTTTACTTATATGAAAAATTTAAGCCAGGCACATGCCTGTAATCCAAGCAGTTTGGGAGGCTGAGGCAGGAAGGATCTCAAGTTCAAAGCCAGCCTCAGCAACTTAGCAAGGCCCTAAGCAACTTAGTGAGACCTTGACTGAAAATAAAACTTAACAAGGACTGGGAATGCAGCTCAGTGGTCAAGTGGCCCAGTGTTCTGTCCCTAATACTGAAAAAAATCGCTCATGACTATTAACCAAGCTGCAGCATCTATTAAGATTTTACCAGTTTTTTCTTTTTATTACTTTTCCTTTCTGTCTGTTCCAAGGTCAACCCAGGTTACCATGGCATTTTTACTTGTCATTTGTCCTTAG